GGAATCCACACTGTTGTCAGCTCTCCCTTCACTGCTGCCCCCAACAATCTGGCTTATGTTAGAAGCAATCGTCTGGGTGTGGGCTCAAGGGTGGTTCTAACTTTCCGAGGAAGAAAAAACTGAATCTTACAAGCAAAGGGACCTTAAAGGTGAATAGAACAAGCATAATTATTCACAGGATATGGGCGCAAAGGCATGCTGGGGAATTACCCCAAACAAACCCCTGATTTGAAGCCAAAATTCTACAGTCCATAGGGAAGCAACAAAAACAAATAATAAACAGCTGGCTTAAGACTAAGGGGAGCAAAAAATAAATATTTTTTATTTTTTTAAATAAATAAATAAAGGAGGCAAACTCTCCTTTATAGAAGAGAGATCATTCAATGGGTAATAATCATTTTTCTCCTAAGTTCATCAGGGGTAGTGACAAATAGGAAAAGACTGCAACTGTTGCCATTCCTGTAAGAGATTACTGGAAACACTTAAGTGCTGTGAGACACTGTCAGCCATCACTGAGGGAATCAAGAGTTTCTTCCTTTGGACAATGTTAAGAACTAAGAGTCAGAGATTCTCTCCCTAACGTTTATTCAATGGTGACATACCCATACCCAGAGGAACTCTCTTTTAGGTCCATGAATTTTTTTATTTCAAAAGAATTAACACAATCACTGGGAAATATTTTTCATTTATGGCATTGCTATTCTTTCAAATTTTATATATTGTGATGAAAAGGAAAGTTAAAAAAAAACCCCAAAAAAAAACTATACAAGACTGGATGCCCTGAAACAGAAAAGAGAGATTACTGATATATGTGCTCTTGGTCTTATAGGGCCACTAGATTATAAAAATCCTAATTTAGATAAGATTTCTCATCATTGGATATTAAAAACTTACCTTGGAGCAATTTATTCTCCTCCATTTCTAAACACTGTCAATTGAATCTTATAAACCTTCCGCAGTTCAGTGCCCTGCCATATACTACAATGAAAACTAAAGGGAAAAAAAAGAGAAAGACCAATCACATACGTACATGAGCTGCCTGGACGACAGTGAGTCTCTGGGTACCGTCTGCCCATAGCGACCAGTCAGCGCATTGGCAAGGTCCTCGGCAGTTTCCAAGCACTCAGGAAAGAATGAGATGGTTAGCTGTAGCGGGGGTGGGGGTAGAAAAAAAAAAAAGTAAAAGCAAAACAGAGATTTAGAATAATGACTGCATTTTTTTCATTAAAATGCTAATGATGACCACAAATTTCCAGATAACTACATTTATGAATTATTCATAGTCACATCTGAGATGAAGTCTCCCTGTCACTGCAAGCAGGCATGGAGTTCACTGATGATTAGCATGTGGCCCCTGTAATAAGTGTGACAGGACTGCAGGTCACTGAAAGTCTATCCATCAGGGCCGGCCTTGCTGGCCCTCTTTAGAACACCAGGCAATCCCATCAGTATTTCACTGACGCTCTCTCATCTCACTCCTCCTTAATGTCAAGGAACAGCAGTGGCCTGGTTCTTTGTTGTAACATCTGAACTAATATCCTGAAAACTCCAAAAGCTTGAATGGAAAAATAAATTTTCTGTATCAGGGAGATAAGACATCAAACTGAATTTTTAAAAATTTTTCGTTGAAGTCTAACATAAATATAGAAAAGGACACACACCACAAATGGACAGCTCCATGACTTTTCCTAAACTAAACACACAAGGTCAAACCCCAGAACATTATCAGCACCCACAAGCTCCCTTTGTGCCCTCTCCTAAAGGTAACTACTGTGCACATAGATTACTTTTGCCCATGTTTGTAAACACCAAATTGATGTACTGTCATTACAATTTCTCATTTAAAAGCCTACTATACGCTAAGCACTGTGCTAGACACTGGAGGTACAGAAATGAATAAGACACAATCTCTGTCTTTAAGGAAAGTGAAGTTTAGTGGGGCCAAGAAACACACACGACGAACCCAGCAGGGCAGTGGGATGAGTACAATGACTCAGATTCATGTCAAGCCGGGGCACCCAGCCCAGAAATGGAGAGGTCAGGAGAGACTTCCAAGCAAAAGGGATGTCTGGCACGCCCTCAGGCTGGGTAGGACTTAGCCAAGCTGGGAATGGACAGGTAGAAGGAAGAAACAGCATGTATGGTTCAGGGCTGTGAACCCCTGAGGGTGAGGCCAGGAAAGGAGCCTGGAGCAGAGCATACTCTCGTGCACCTATCCAAGAACTCTGGCTTTATCCTGATTGCAGACAGCCACCGACGGGTCAGATCTGGGTTGCAGAGGCATCACTCTTTCTGGACAGATTCAAAGTAGGCAGAGTGGAGGCGGGAGATCAGTTAGGTTGCGGGTAGCAGAGGAAGGGTGGGGATTAGGGCCATGGAAGTAGGTGGGGGGAGGGAAAGAAGAATCAGTAGCTGGGAAACATTCAGACACCAAAAGCAGAACAACTTGGTGACTGACTGCATGTGGGTGGATGGGAGTCACCCATCTGTGACTCCCTGTGACTACCACTCAACTGTGGTAGAGAATACAAGAGCATGAACAAATTTAATAAGAAAGACAGGGGTTTAGTTTGGGGCACATTAGAAACTGAAGTGTAGAAGATTTAGGTAGAGATACCCAGATATCCTTGAGTGTGAAGCTTAGAGAAGAAGCCTGAGCAAAATGTAAAGGCATAGAAACGATCATTACACAGAGAGTGGCAGACATTGTTAGTGGGAAGGAACTTGGACAGAATGAGGAGATTAGAGAATTAGTGCTAAAAGCAGAGCCCTAGAGAACATGAACAATGATAGAATGGGCAGAGGAAAAAGGGCTTTTGAAAAAGACCATAGAATAAAAGCAGAGACGTACCATGGGATACAATGAGATGAATAAAGCAAGAAATGAAAAATATATATCTTTGGATTTGACACTTAAGCAGTTACAGGCTACTTTGACTGAAGGCAGTTTCAGTGAAGCTGCAGAGGCGGATACAACAGAGCAAGCGGAAGAGAAGAGGAAGGAGAATAAACAGTCGTTAGAAGGGAAATGTGATAATGGAAGTCCATACTGATAAGGTGAGGGAATCAGAAGAGAGAGAAAGGTTGAAAGTACAAGAGGGAGGAGGTAAGGATGGAATAAGTTCCAAAAGGGGATGGGAAAAAGAAAGGCCCAGGGTTACAGATAAAGGGGTGACCTTGAAGAGGAAGGGGAATTCACCATCCTACTATATTACAAGAATATCAGAGTTATTATAGAAGAACAAAGAAATATGGTTATAGTAAGTTTGTAGGTAACAGCATTGAGATGTTGGATGCAATAGACCAAATGACATCAGCACTGTAGATAAAATACTTGACAAAGTTCTTTGCTGAGAATAAGTTGACACAAACAGTTTGAGAACATAGATCTTGAAAATCTTGGCTTCTGGCATGTTACCCTCCAAAATTAAAGTTGTCCAACTCCGTTTCAAGGTAAATAAACATACATGCCAGTATACATCAGGTGCAGAGAGGTATTTAGGGGTAAGCACACCTACAGAACTTCATAGCATCAAAAAAGTCTATATAAGCAAAAGACCCAGAAGAAAGCGCTAGGTTTGGGGGAGGGGGTTGTCACTTTGAGGGGTGAAAAGTATAACTATTGCACTGTGTTGTACAGCTGAAACTAATTGAAAAAAATGTTTATTTCACAATAAAAAAATGTTACAAAAAAAATGACGTTAGGTTTAGGGTGCCAGTCTTTCCAAAGGTAATATATAGTTTCATCGAGTGAAACTGCCACCCGTCATCTTATAAGGCTTCTTCAGCTCTTCAGTTCAATGTTCCCTCCTAAGTATAACCAACCGAATGAAAATGAAGAGTCAGATATTTGGAAGTAAAGGCAAGAAGAGGAGAGTGGAGCTGGCAGCGGCACCCGCCCCTGAGATTTCCTGGTGTAATGCAGAGATGGCACCCCACTTCAGTCTCCTGCCCACTCTTCAACCTCACGTTCTAGCAAATTCAGAAGTGGGTGGTGTGGCTTGGTTCTTGGAAAGCACTCCAATAAGGCCCAAAGTAGCAAGGATCGTTAGAAAATCTAATGCGATGAAAATGCCTTGAAAGGCAGATTTTATGTTCTCCAGGCAGCCTTTGTGACCTACAAAACCTCGAGGCTGCTCCGCTGTTGGTCTGTTTGGTTACCATGAACATCTCCAGACCATCTTTGGAAGATGACAGCGTTTTAGCATTCTAGATAAACACGTTATCACCACCGAAGTCAGCCAGGACTGAGATGGTTTCAAAGCCATCAGATGCCTGCTGAGGGGGCCATTCGTCTTTGTATCCACAGGGCATAGGTTATAGAGCAAGCAGTCAATAAATATGGGATAAATCGATAAACTGATGCATAAGTGAAGAGTTTGCACACCTAAGGAGGCCAATTAACTAGTGAGAACAGAAATAGTCTTGCTGTTCCTTCCTTTCCCACCCTAATTGACTCAAAGCCAAGCTGCAAATTGCATTCAACTGCATTTCCTTTCTTCTTCACCGAAGAAAATCTTTATGAACTCATAAGCAAATAGTGTGTGTTAAGAAGACTCAGAAATAATAAAATTATAAAAACAAGATGCCTCTTAAATGAGAAAATAGGTAAGTGTGAACGTTTTGAGCATACAAAGCAATAGAAATTGCCCATTTTACATCTGTCTGCCTTCTATGTTATATTTCTGTGTGAAGGACAGGACAGCATTACTCTAACAGCATGGTGCCTCTCCTCCCAGACCTCATTCATAGGGCAAGCTGCTCAGGTTCAACCCACTAGGGCAAGAGATAATAGTAATAAGATCATCAAGTCTCGCTTCCTTGAAACTTCACTCGGTTACAGGTCTATGGTTTTGTCCTAATATCTATTTATATTATTCATTGTTTCATTTCTTTTATAACACAAGCGCTCTGAGGGATCACTGATCCTATTGAACACATTTACACTTCACTCAGTGGTATTGTCTGGAAATTAATGACAAAGTTTCCAAAAGCGAGGAATAGTGGTTGTTTGTCTGTTCTTAGTATGTACTATGTGACATTTTTCTGAACTGTTAAAAAACAACTCGGTCCTGAAAACATCCAAGGATTCTGCCCATCTTATCAGCAAGATCTTGAGAAGAAAACAACTCTTTGAGGCTGCTTTCCTTCTTTCTATTCACGATTAAAAATGCTAAGAGACCAAGATAAATAAGACACTGTTCACTTGAATGCAAGCCATCCAGGGGAGAAAGGGAATATTTATGCCAATCCACAAAGTGTTTAGTGTGCAACTTTTTAATTGCTGTGTTTATGGTACTATCTGTAATATATTCAGTAGCACACACGCTCTTCAAGAACATTAATCCTGAACAGATACATTAATGATTCCTGCCTCTCCTACAAATTCTCATTATGCTGATGTGGGGCAAAAATGCCAAGAATTCTCTCAAAATAAACATTTCATGTCAACAACCACTTATTTTACTATCTCCCTTTCCAACTATTTTATGTTACCATTAATATCTCTCCTTAAGTATTTGCTGCTATTGACCTAAAAGACAAGTTTGTAAACAAAATGTTTTGTTTTAAAAAGGCTTTGTTTAATGCAACTTTTGATAGGAAAGCTGTGCAAGCTACTAAAAAAAGTTGGTTATGGGGCCTGCCAAGTGTCGTGATGGTTAAGAACTGGCTTGGGATGCCAGAGGGCCCCGGTTCGGATCCCACATATGAGGGCCAGTGACACTGCCCTCCACAGCTAAGATGCTGAACAACAGCTCAACCTGGAGCTGGGCTGCCATGAGTCACCGGCGACAGCGTAGGCTGCAGCAGGGGCTACCGTATGTAGCAGGTTGCCATGGGCTACCGTATGTAGCCAGCAGCCAGCAGCCAGCGTGAGCGGCCAGCAGCCGCCGTGAGCGGCCGTCCAGAAGCCGGCGACTGATCTGCCTCACCTGGGAAGAGCGCAATGATGGTGCCAGCTTGGACCAGTGAAGCAACGTCCTCCACAACTAGACTGAAGAACAAAAGGACAGCAACTTGTCTGTTCCCCTTCCCCCAATTCCCCAAAAAAAATCTTTAAAAAAAAAAAAAAAAAAGAACCTCAAGGAGTAAGAAGGTATTGAGGATGATCAAGATTTTCATAATAGTTGAAGGACTACCCATCT